CCTGGTTCTTTAATTGTTATTGAGGAACAATTGTTTCTTTTTCCTTATGGTTTGCTAGACTTATAGGAATGAACTCTATCCTCTATCGGTTGCTTTTTCCCTGGTCTGCTCGGCTTAACCCCTTATTGAATATATTATTAAATCAGAATATTAATTTAAATAATATATTGTTAAGGTTTGCTTCTTTTTCACATGGCGCCTCTTAATTGATTGTCGAATTTATTTGATTCCACACTTGTTTTATTGCAGATACATCATAGATTAATGAAAAAATAGAAAACAATATTCTTGTTTAATTACTTATTTGATAAGGAATATTATGTTTAGTTTAATTACTTATTTGATAAGGATTGCAATTACTTTTTGCTGCCTAAAATAATTTTGAATTGATATTCACCAAACCGAACCAAAAACTTCAGATGTGGCAAAAGCAAATTGAAACAATATTTAACGTCTTTCTGGTATTGCATCATCATCTCTTTAATGAAAAGAGACTTGGGAACTGAGAGCTCCGTCTTTTTCATGTCATTATGTCACACAACAATCATGTGGAACACATTTGCTTTAGAGATTAACATGTCTTTAAACGTGGGCTTATTGGAACTTCGGGTCCCTCAAGGCTCGAGAAATCTACATGAGGCAGAATATGAGTTTGCATGGACCAGCTTGGGTACTGCATAAAGACCAGTTGCATGAACCCGCAAGTGATTACGGGTCACTTGCATCAACGATCAACGGTCCACAATCGCTCACTCAAACACAGATCAATTGTGTTGACCACTTGCATCAACGATCAATAGTCCACATTAACTCAATCAAACACGGATCACTTGCATTAACGATAAACAGTCCACTTTCACTCACTCAAACACGGATCACTTGCATTAACGGTTCACAATCACTCACTCAATGGCTGAACTGATTGTTGGGATAGAAATTTGAAACCCAACAGGTTGGATGTGAAGGTCTATTGAGTCTGGTAGAATCACACTAATAATAAACTATTGAGTATGGAAGAGAGAACAAAAGTAGAACTTTAAAACGCATAATGATCTCGTCACATATAGGACCAGCAGGAAGAGAGAACAAATGGGAGTCAATTCTTTCATTCAAATGATAAAAGCCAGCTTAAGATACAACAGAAAGGCACCATTTCAGCTTGGACGAAATAGCGCCTAGCAGTATATGCACCCTCCAAAAAACTCAACTACAACAACAATAACAAAAGCTGGTAAAACCACTGCGAATACTACTAAGGGTAGCTCAAGTGCAGGAACACGAAGCCCGCGAATACTACTATTGGGTAGCTCAAGTGCCACGAAGCCTGCTAGTTGGAGTCAGATAACCGATTCTAGCTAACAAAAAATGAATGCTATGCAATCAAATTCTCCTTGTGGTGATGATCCAGAGAAGAATCAGGAGACTTAGATTGCATGCCAAGCACTAAGGGAACGAATAAATAGAACAACTACTTCTACTCAATCTCTCTAAAGCCACAAAACTGCTGGACATGATGCCCTCCCTTTCATCAGAGTACCACAGCAACCTTCTCCTGGGAAATTAATGACAGAGGATGGGCAATGAGGGGTTCATAGTGATCAGCTCCGGCACCACACCAACCTGTTTGAGAAAATGTTCAGAAATGTAGGCCCAGCTAGCTAATGAAGAAGCTAATCAACTACATGGCATGTATTTTCAGAGGGCAGATTGTTTTTTCTTACCTGTTCCTTTCATGAAAAGAAAGAAAGGAGGTTCACAAATTTGACTCCTGGGTCGATGTGGAAGGAAGAAAACACAATTTTCTTCATCAACCATTGCATCCGATCCATGTGCCTGAACCTGTAATTGATGAATTTCAGACAAGAATGATTCATAATCCAGTGCATCTCACAAACTTCAAAATTGCAAAAATAATATATACCAATATCCCAACAAAGCAAACGGCAGATTTATCAAATGCACATAGGTCAAGTTTAAGCAGCGGACTAATACTTGCATTGAGAATTAGTGTATCATTTCTCCTCATAGAATTGTAGAAAAACAACATTAAAACCAAAAAGATCCTCTATTGCAAATCAACAAGCTCTTTAAAGATCAACTCAGCCTTCTCAAACGTTAAGTGCAATAAACCTTGATGCACTTCTAAACTTTAGTAACTCACAGAAAATTTGAATACTGATTGCATTCACACTTGTAAACTTTACTGATAAAATTAGTTATCAAAATCTTCAACCAAGACTCTTTCTGAAGAAATTGAGTGAACAAGCAATAACATCCACACCAACCAAAACTTCCCCTTACCACATATATCTCTCGCTTAAACTCTGTGGCAAGACACTCTATTGCGATATCATCTCCAAAAGCAGCGGCATGACCTTCTCTGTTTTCATCAATGGATAATAAACCTTCCTCTGTGTAATGCAATGTGATGATATCATATTCATCATGGGTAGAACCAGAGGTCGACATGTATTTGGCCCAACTTGCTCCATCATTCACTGGGATACATCTTTCTTTGTAAATAGACTCTGCTGCCAGCTCTCTTCATTCAAAAGAAAATGAAAAGACAAGACAATAATAAGGCAATCGAATCAAACAAAATAGTTTTTCCTTGGCCTGAAAAGCATACAAGAAATGAAACATGTACAAGAAATGAAAACATTCAGATCTGAAAAGATTTTTTTTTTTTTTTTAAATTATTGCAAATAAATTGTATTGGTCACATTTCAAGAAAGAAAATTTAACCCTAATAAAAACGATTTTTTTTCTTTTATTATCACATTTCACCTGTAAAACTTTAGATTTCAAAGACATGAACAAGAGCAGATCTGAATAAATATTACCTCTGCATGCCGAGCTGAAGAAGCTCATCGATGGCAGAATCAAGACTCACGCGCTCGTCTTTCTTGGCCAACAACTTGACCTCCTGAATCACATGTATCCCCCACCCAGCCCTCAGATCAGGCGCGTACATATGCCGAATCGCGTCGTCTATCACGCGCTTCTCCTCCCCGGCCGCAGATCCGTAGTCCTCCGTGAACCTCCGGACAGTCCGCCTCCTCAACTCCCGCGCGTCCACCTCACGCGCCGCCCTCATGGCCTTCTGGGACGCCGTGAACAGGCAATTCCCGTCCGACGACACCTCGCCCCCGTGCGACAGTCTGAAGACCATCGACTTCTGTGGCATTAACGAGTCCGAGTCGGACTCGGACGAGTCTTGATCCTCTGGGTGCTTCCACAGCACGCCCTTCGTGTGCAGCCTCTGGAGGTGCCGTCTCTGCTGCTCCTCGAGGCCCACCACGCTGTCCCATGCGACGTCGGCCGTCGACTGGTCAACGAGATCTACGGCCGAGATTGCGTCCTCGTCCAGTGGCGACGCCTTGGGTGGGTCCCTCCAGGGAACCGTCGGCGAGGAGCTTTGAAATGTCTCGGCAACCGTAGTCGAATCGCATAGTAGTTTCCCCATTTCCCAACCTTTTCCTCTTCTTTTGAAAAATCTTCAATCTTTTTTATTTATTTTATTTATTTTTGTATTTCTTGTTACTCTTTCTCTTCTTCTTCAACGGAAGTTGCAGAAGAGAGAGAGAAAAGAAAGAGAGAGAAAGAAAACACAGGGTTAACGGATAGATTTATGAAGAGCGGGACAATTCGGACACGTGGATAAATCTGACGCGTTTAGAAACATGCTAACCGAGGGAGAGGTGCTAACGTGAGCCGGTGGCGCATGAGGGTTGAAGCTGAGCCAAGCCAGATTTTATTTCCAAATTCTGAATATTATTATATGGAAAATATTCCCCCACTAGAGACGTTGGTGTTTGTTGGCATATGATATGCTGCTTCTCAGCTGCCCCGAAATTCGAATGTTATTGGGTTGGTGCACTCGTGCTCCAACCAATAATTATTTGACAACTCAGCCTATTATGTTAGTGGGACCCAACACCAGTGTTGACTTCGATCGTAACGGTTAGAAAATGACGTGGCAGTGTCTGATTGGCAGAGTAGTTGTATAAAATGTGCGTTATATTACAGAGGAATTAAGTTCGAGGAATTAGACCGTTTTTTGAATGGTGTGGATTTTACAAGGGTAGTTATTGGGTTGTTTTGTTTGGCGGGGTTATTGTAGAATTTCTGTTGCTTGCCTTTTGAGCGGGATCAAAACTTGAGGCTGGTAGTTGGCGCAGGAATGGTAAATAAATCGGACCAAAAAAAAATTGTAATCTATTCAATCAATTATGGTATCAAATTTCAAATTTTTACCATTTTCTCAAGAACATTTCAGGTAAAATTATTGTAATTTTCAATTACCAACTTACCAAAAATTGAAATAACAAAATTATTGTCTAAGTTTTCTTCTTAAATTTTTTAAAATAAGTGATGGTATATTATTATTGAGCAAACAAAAGTACAAATTCCAAAAGTTAAAAAGAATATAAAAATCCTAAATAGAAAATAAATCACAACAAACTTCTAAAGAGTTTATGAAAATTATTAGTCTAAAACAAAACTAAGAAACAAGACCACGACTCCACATTTTTTGGGCAACCCGAAGAAAATCATGGGGCCATATCGGCTAAACTCATAGTCCCGCATTAGCTAAACTCGAATCCAACACAACCAGACATCTTCCCCTTTTTAGAGCTCCAAACTATGTTGAAGGGTGGCAAAACTTGTAACAATTTGAGTTCACAAAGCTATATATGATCATGACAAATAAGTTGACTATTAGCAGGACGGTTTTATGGTTGGCTCTTTCCTTTTGTTTTGCTGATAAAGTTTCAGTTGGCTCAATGCCATTGCTATGTAAATGATTGGCTTCATATTCATATGACTCTTGCTATAGAGCTTAATAAGTAAGTGCTTATTTGGAACTAAAAAGCAAAAGCGCATAACACTTTCCATTTATTTGTAGCCAGCCACCACAGCCAATATATGGTGCAATTTAACTCTTGATTTTATTCTCTCTTGCTATTCTATCAGAATTATGATGTCTTGAAAAGCTTTTACGTTATGGTACAGGCAAAAGGATTTTCGTCGCTAAATGTCTGGTTGGGGTAAATATGCTGAGATGAGTATTGAGGAGGATATTGAAATATATTTTCCCTTTCTGGGTCTTTCTTATTGTTGTTGCCCTGTTTTTGTCCTTGTTCTTGCTTCACAATCTCAGCATGCTTCCCTAATTGTTTTTTGATGTATTCTATCAGCTTTGGTGGATCAACCACTCCCCTCACTGTCACCCTTGAGCTCTCCATATTTGCTTCAACACTTAAAACACCTAAAATTGCAGCAAATCCCCAACAACAACAACAAAAATTCAAGATTAAAATCCCCACATTAAAGAGATTTTTACCTTTCATTTTCTCCAAGTATTTCTTAATATCATTTGCACAGCCTTCACAATGCATCAACATTTTCAACACCACAACCTTCACCTGAGGCTGAGCCTGCATGTATATTTACAATACCAACAATAAGTAGACTAGAAAAACTCATGATTTATTTTATTCTTCAAGACTAAAAATAACAGGGACATACCTCTTCTTTCTTTTAGGGCTCTTTTTTCTCTTTGTTTTCAGGCTTTGGTTTTGGAGAGATGAGTTCAGCATTGCTGCTATACTTCTTCTGCAGTCTCTCCAAAACCTTCAATGGATTGGCCTTTTTCCCCTTCACAACCACTCTCTGATTCGCATAATCAACCGTAACATCTTCGATGCCTAATATTCATTTCAATGAAAAGAAAAAACCAAAATTATGTATGTGCATGTGAAAATTTAAATACTTGCACAACCCAAAATTTATTATGTTTACCTTCAACCCCTTTCAAGCATTTAGAAACCTTGCTTTTGCATCCTTCACAATGCATAAGTACTCTCAACACAATCTCTTTGCTGGACTGACTGTTCTTCTCATCTTGTTGATTTGTCTCTGCGTTTTGGTTATTGTTCTCCTGTTTATCTTGTCTCTAATAACCAAAACAAATATTATGCAAAAATTTCAACACATTTACAATAAAACTTACAAGAACCAAAACTCAAATTACAAGCAAAGCATAAGTTCATCAAACCTTCCCCATTTGACAAACTCCTGTATTACATCGAGGGGGATGAAGATGTTAGATATAAATAAGACTCTCCCTGCCATGCCATTGCCATGTATATGATATTTATGGGTATTTAATTATGCACCTTTGCTTTTGAGAAACAGTTTCAGTAACCAATTTACCAAACTGAGATGATCTGCAGAGGAAATGATTGGGTTTCAGTTACCACTCGGATTCTCATATATGGATGCATTTCCAATATGAGATTGAACTCCCAACTAGTTCTGGAACATTTTATTTACGCTTCCAATCCAATTATGCAAATAAGTTTCGTTTCTTATAATGTGTTTAGATTACACTTTTAATGAGGTAATATACTGTTTGTATATAAAAGAGATAGTTGTTTTGCGAGGACCATGGTTAGGGATCTACTCATACCTGTTTTTCTTTTTCTTTTTGTGGCAAAGTTTGGAAGGAGGAGGGGATGTGTCATTCGGGGTTCGAACTTAAAACCATTGATATGCAAACAAAAACTCTTACCATTGAGCTATGAACCCGTTTGAACTTAAAGTCATTTCTTTGCGTACCCAACCTCCATTATTTTTTTAATACACCACCATATTAATATATATCCCAGCAAATAAATAAATAAACAAATAAACAAATTTAGTCTAATGAAGGAGTTGATCTTTTTTATTTCTTCTTATCCTCCTCTGGTTCGCTAACGTGGTCATCTCCATGGCTGCTCTCGCTTTGTTCTTGTGTTTCTTCCATCTCTGACCTCTTAACTGTGACCACCTTATTAGTCACATTTCGGAGGCGTGAGCAAAGCTTTTCCAGAAGAAATCTTCCTTCCACTACCACTACTGGATTATCCTTATCAACCACAACACTTTCAACTCCTGACATAGAAAGAAAAAAATCAAAAATAAATAAATATATATATATATATATAGAGAGAGAGAGAGAGAGAGAGAGAGAGAGAGGAAACAACAAAAAAT